TCTAGTTAACCCTAGAAAGATAACCATATGACAACGTACGTAAAAGATAACCATACGCTTCAGAGGCGCATGCTTTTCTAAGGCGTCAATTTTATACTAACAATGGATATTTATTTAAGTTAATCTAGTCATTTTAAAGGTTTGGCATTATTGTAAAAATAAAATGCATTTATATTATATTTTTTTATATTTTAAGTAATTTTAAACTTAAATCACTAGACCTCTATGAAAAATTAACAAAAATCAACAGTCTTCGCAGGCGCCTCTGCGACGTAGGTTATCTTTCTCGGGTTAATGTAAGCAATCACAATAAGTATATATTTCTCTTCCTCGTAAAAATGTATCACGATCGAAAAGCTTCTACTTGTTATAATCACGATAGGAATGGATACAAGAATGGGTTAAAACGTGTGCGATGTGTTTCATCGGGATTGCAACAGACCGAGAAAGAGATCTGAAAGAAAAGAAACCGTCTGTTTCATAAGTAAGGACTCATTCGTAAAGGACTCGATTGTCGCGAAAGCTATTTGTTTTTTCGATTAAAACGCAATCATCAATATTAACCATCGAATTAAATTTACTGACGATATTTCATACAGTATGGATAAAAAATATTGTACAGCCATGCAGAAACAACATGTTGAAACAATAAACGACAGAAGAAGTTCCAAAATAGCAACACAGAACGTTTTTGTTTGCAGCATTACCAATTATTTCGTGGTGAACCTGTCCGTAGCAGATCTTCTAGTGACTACGATCTGCATGCCTATGGCTGTCAGTCAAGCAATCTCGATCGACTGGACCTATGGTGAACTGATGTGCAAACTGTCCTCTTATCTTCAGGGTAATTACTTATGAATAACTTCATCATTCCTGTGCGCTCAATTATTTTATTTTATTAATAGTTATTTGCGAGACGATCCTCGCTTAATAAATATTATTAATGAAGTATATGACATCTCGAAATATCAATATACTATCAAATATCATTATCACTAACCATTTTATATTAATATAATCTGCAGACTGTTTTTAATTCTCATACAGTTTTCGAAACAACAGCTTTCAACTTCGAAGGCAACTTATATTTGAACTGTAATAGTCGCAAAGTTTTAGCTCGCATAGTAATATTTTATAGACCATCCTAAATATAGTAACGCAGTTTAAAGTTACGTTGCAATCTATTTCAGAAACTAAGCATGTCAGAGAAAATATAATCACTCTGCGCGAAAGAGTAATTATTCATATTATGGAACCTTTAAAACCTTAGTTCTGCGAATGGTTCTATAGCAGATAGTAATAACATTCTTGAAAATTTCCAATTGCAAATTTCATCAAAAATTTAGAATTTAAAGAAACGAATGAAACTCATCTTTATCACCATAAACGTCACGAGTATTTTTAAGAACATCCTCCGCCATATTACCATTGTTTAAATTCATAGAGCACCTTAACACTCATGCTTTGGATTTTTGTAAATAGAAGATATTGTCACAAATGCTTCGAATCCATATTTTATATTAAGCGAATACTTCTGAAAAGCAACGGAATAAATTTCTATGAAAACACCACCTACACGAAGTACAGATATTTGTATACATAAATTGTGATTATGAATATTATTATTATTACAGAACTGAATTGATCAAATGCAAAACACTAAAGACATTAGAATAATTTAATCGTATTGCCACATTATACTCACCTTATTACAATTATTAAAGAAAGAAATTTTCATTGAACTTTCAATTCCTACAATTGGAGAATTTCTATTTTCCATAAAAAATCGCGGTGATTCGATACGACACAACTTATAAGATGACCTGATACACTATTACATTATAGAGCGCATGCATTCATATCCTAGATAAGTTAGAATGTAACAATTCCGACAATATAGATTTTCCATTGAAAATGTCACTTTTCTCGGTTTGGATCGTTGCGAGGCGTCGTTTCCCTTAAGATACGATAAGACGACGAAAAAAATCGTACATGACTTAAATTACAAAGACCTTAATGAAACATGTAAAAATTGTAATCAATTGTTAAAACTAGATAGTCAAATAACAATATTTATACTCTGAGTCCAAATGAACCCGAGCCCCATGGACCGAATGTTAAGTAGCAGAATATTCTACCATCGTAAGTTCGGATAATCGAGGTTCCACCTTATTTCCTGTATCTTCAGTCAAGCTGCGAGAATGTATGAAAAAAGGTCCGGAAGAAAAAGTGAAACTTCGTCGAGCAATTTAACCAACAAAGCATTTATAGGGGTCGCAGTCGCTGCCTCAGTTTTCACCATTACCGCAATGAGCATCGACAGATACCTGGCGATAAGAAGCCCCATAGCGTTCCGACGGGTTTTCAATCGCAAGAGCACCGTCCTCGTTATCGTAGCCCTTTGGCTGGTCGCTTTAATCATCTTTGCTCCGGTCTTAAAGGTGGTTAGTATAAAACCCAACTTATCGTAATATCGTGGCCAAGCACACTCCGGTGATTGTTTTTCTGACAGAAGCTTTTAAAACATGCAGCCGCTTTACATAAATATTCCAACGATTCCCCAGAGCCAAGAGGTGACATTGTATTCGTGAAAAATTCTATATCTACCTACTAATCTGGATCATATATTTTTCTCAAGAGATAAGAGCCACGTTTCGTATTTCTCTTGACGGCAAGTGGTAGATGGGGTGGAATTAAGGTCAAACCGCATCATTCTTGCGAGAAATGCCAACCTCCCACCTTCTGATACGCCTGGAATAAATTAGTTACGTACGCTGGATCGTTGGATCGCTGAAAAGTAAATACCTCGACTACAATTTGTTCTTCCCTGTTAGATCCCGGCGTGTTTTGCTGAAACAGTAAATTGTTCCAATCATTTCTCCCTTTTCGTCGAATCGCAACTGACCACGCGCACTACTGCAAAATACAATTTGGCAAACAAGTTACCCTCATAGTCACCAGCCCATAGGGTAAGTGTAGGTATTGCTGCGGTTTCTCAATGAAGGCGAACTTTGTACAGAGAAAATAAGACCTTTTACGTCAATAAATTGACAACTCGAGCTATACCTATTATTCTTTAACTCGAATATTTACTTTTCTCAAAATATTGAATCTCTAAAAGCATAAATTTCATTACAAGGCGTAATGTAAAGAAATACATGTGCATATATTACCGCGGTTATGTATCTATTACTGCGAGCCAAATACTGCGGACGTACCGATTACTGCGTATCAAGGTTGACATAATCAATTTTTTTTTAAATGTACAAACTATGCGCCAATTACTGTGCCAGTAAATAACATCTGAGGATAGATTTTATCTATAGATAGACTTTATCTAAAAATAACGCTAAAATGAATAGTTTATTATTAATTACCAAAATATAAATGCCTTCCGAATCAGCGTTCACAGCTGCCGTTACAAGTATTTCATAAGACTCGACACTTGTAAGTTTCCGAATATCAAAATCAATAAATCAATTAAAAGTGCGATTACTATCACTTGTGTGTCATAAATTATCAATATTAAACATATAAAAAATGATGAGATTTATTTTTAGAAGATTACATTGTTAGATTTGATTACTTCCATAAAATACCGCAGTATTTGGTTCGTCCGCAGTAATACCCACACTTACCCTAGAACGTTCTGTTTATCGTTCTCTTGTTTTCTCGGTTGCAGAAAAATCTTTTTCGTTTATTATTGCCGAACAAATACAGGACTCGGAGAAAATAGTGCAAACGCTACTTGTAAGTCGTATGTAGACTTTATAAAATTAGTTATGGAATTGTAAATAGTTCATTTGATACCTGAAAAATTTAGAACCAGAGACCAAAAGTATGCCATTTACATTTGTGGTGTCCTCGAAAAGGAAAGATGCAATGCAAAAAATGTTTATATATGTAATTTATTCATAATAAAAAAATGGTAAACATTTATCCAAATTTCCTTGCAAATGCATCTCCTGGAATTTCGGCATGCTACTTAAAGAATAACAAAATTTCATTTATTTCAATTAATGGAATATTTTTGTATGATAGAATAATTTAGAGTTCCGCACCCTCCTTGTTAGTATACGAGGTGTTTCCATCATTTTGTCCGACCCTATTATTCTCCTAATCGCTGCGCCTTCTGAAAACAAGATTACGTGTCTATGATGAATCGTTGGGATAACAATGAACGGTACCGTGGTTACAAAAGAACCAATGTCGCGATTTTTTTCTGAACATCACACGGAATAATTTCATTTAGCATCGTGTCTCCCGCTGTCATCTATATTCCTGGTCGCAAATGACAAGACAGTAATTCCAGCATTTTATATCCTCGCGAAGCGTGCGACGAAAATAAGGAAATCTGGAACACCTCGTCGCTGGCGGGAAGCTCGTTGCGAGTACATTTCTCCTTGTTGATTTTCGTTTTTCGAAGACAGTCCGACCGGATGAACTTTGACCAATTTTTCTGCCAGATGACTCTGCAGAGTCCGAAGCTGGACTTGAAACTCAACACGTCTCTCCGGGGATTCTGGTCAGTGACGAGCAATTCCTTGCAGAAACCACCGGTTTTCTACACTTGTAAGGAAGATTTCGGGCTTCTGGGTATTCGGGCGCATCTTTTCGGAACTGTGTGCTTCGTATTGGTATACGCAATCCCCGGTAAGCAGAAACATGCATGGTATACATAAACGTCGAAGGTAGCACATCATTTCTCGTTTTATTTTTCAACGCAACAAATTTAACACACCTTTTCGGGCAAGAGTTTCCAACAGAAAAATATACTGAATCGTGCTTCTAAACGTTTCTAAAGGCTCGAAACTAATAAATCGTAGCTCTTTCGCCATTTAGTAACTTCGTTCTGGAATAAAATCAATTAAATCTATAAAACGAGATGCACGTGAATGGATTTCTACGTTCCTTTGACAGTTTCGAATCAATTCGGAACATTTTTCGGTTTTGAACGTTGTATTTCGTTACCAACATCAATCCGAAGCAACTCTATAGAGACACTAGATTGACCATTTTGTTCTATTGAATTTTTCTTTCCGACAAAATGTTTGCAGAATGTCGTTCTCAGCGAATACGTAGAAGATCCATGCGCGATCGAGAACCATCAAACACAATCAATTTTATTATCTCCGCGAAAACATGTTCATTTTCAAGTACAGTAATTTCTCCTAGGAATGTTCGGAGGTCGAAATTGAAATCGGCAGATCTGAGAATACTAAATACAAAGAAACCATACAAAGTAATGCTAGAATAAAAACGATGACATGACTTTTTTATTTCTAATTTTTTGACACGATTCGAAGGCAATTCGGACGTCGCGTGACACGATTCGAAGGCAATTCGGAGGCAATTTGGAGGCCACATGACACGATTCGACGATCACGTACCTAGTACATTAAATTCTCCCTAATTCGCGGTCAGATTGTGCATAAAAATGGACAATTTGGGAAGAGGATATATGATTATTCAAGCCTTACGGCTCATTTTTATAATTGTTGACAATCGGCGNATAGAGACACTAGATTGACCATTTTGTTCTATTGAATTTTTCTTTCCGACAAAATGTTTGCAGAATGTCGTTCTCAGCGAATACGTAGAAGATCCATGCGCGATCGAGAACCATCAAACACAATCAATTTTATTATCTCCGCGAAAACATGTTCATTTTCAAGTACAGTAATTTCTCCTAGGAATGTTCGGAGGTCGAAATTGAAATCGGCAGATCTGAGAATACTAAATACAAAGAAACCATACAAAGTAATGCTAGAATAAAAACGATGACATGACTTTTTTATTTCTAATTTTTTGACACGATTCGAAGGCAATTCGGACGTCGCGTGACACGATTCGAAGGCAATTCGGAGGCAATTTGGAGGCCACATGACACGATTCGACGATCACGTACCTAGTACATTAAATTCTCCCTAATTCGCGCTCAAATTGTCCATTTTTGTGAGCAATTCGCAGAAAATTTTTTACCGGGAATTTGCGTCGTGTGCCGCTTCACACGCTTGACTAACATCGACGTAGCAATAAATTACACAGGCGTAGAACTAGCAGAGGGAAATTCACAGCAACCCGAAATTTAGCATTTCCGGGAGAAATTACTGTAATACGTAAATTATATCTTCAAAGGTTTGTCTGAAGGCTTAGGAAATTATAGAACGAAAGTTTAACTAATTATAATCAATAGTATACGTCCACTACTTCGATACTTGTGTCTTACAGCAGTTCTAACTAAGGCAATAATTGAACTAAAAGACTACACTCGCACGCTATACATAGATGCAGTATTCTTATCCTCATCCTCTTCCTTTATCTCTTGATGTTGCTTTTTGGTTTCGTCACCTGGTTTCCTTCAGGTGTCGTCGTGATACTGTCCTACTCCATGATGGGGCGAACGTTGTGCTCCCGGAAGCCGCCGTTCGATTGCGACAGCGTCAGAGGAAATGCTAGCTCACAACAGGTTGGTTCGTACTTCAGCTCTAATCGGCTGATCATATCATTTAATCGAGCGAAATTATATCGCGCGTTTTACCAAATTGGATTAAGAGAACCTGCCGGTTCGGTGTACAAATCGATCCTCGAACTCCGGTTCGTTAAAGCCCATTCAACGGTAGTCTGGACAACGTCTAAAAATAGCTGGTATTTGCCAGAGGGACAGTCCCTCGTTCAGAGACTTCATAATTTACCATTGGGGCGGACTTCTTCCTCGACGTTTCTTTTCAACTCCGCCCTTCGTGCGTACGATTCTCTGCAGTAGCTTCGGTTTTGCTCGACGAGTCGAGACTGTGACTTCGCAGTCTTCACAGTCGACGAGTACAATCGCCGTTTACTCTAACAGTGATTAGACAACGAGTTCCTGCGATCTACATGCGTCGAAATTCTGTCACGTCCGCAACTGCGTGCAACCGCATTTTGTTCGCAGACGTTCCGGCTTGTACGTGAGAGAAGACGAATTGCTTGGATATTGCTCCTTCTGGCGGTGCTGTTCGCCTTATGTTGGCTGCCGTACAACGTTTTAATGCTCTTGATCGATCTGGACGCAGTCGGTGAGTGCTGGCCCATTGATGAAACCACAACAATCGTCACGCGCCTTTTAATTGAAATCCCGTGTTACTTCCGAAAGCCGGGACACATAAAAAACACTTGCGTACATACATGACCGTCCCGGACAATAATATAATATTAGCTTGATGCGTAAGTCCTGTCGCTTGTTTTTCTAAACGCAATTTTATCTCGAGGATAAATCTTTTTTATGTATGCTTTTTATATCGTTATAAAAGTGCTGCACTTCCTTTTCCAAACACGCCCTGAATCTCTTCAAAGTAAATACTGCAACAGCTAGAAAAGTAGGTGTATTTTCCTCTTGTTGTTGATCATTATAGTTAATCTGGAGCTATTGCAGAGGGTACACAAAACCTTATCAGCCATATAAGATTGTCCGTTTTGTGCATACTCGTCGTCAAGATGCGAATATTCTTGTGAAATTAAAATTAAATTAAATTAAAAATTCGCGGTCTTGTCATACGATATTCAATCAAACTTTGTATATAATAGTAGCAATAGGCAAAAACAAAGTTACGAGCCTAGTATGTGTCCGTGTCTCAAATTCCATTCTGATCTACAAAGAAACGTTGACATTAACCCATTGGATATATCATCCCACGATCTTAAGGGCGTAACGCATGTATCTTACTATTAGAGAAAGAAATACATATTTTCATTTTAATTATCCATAAATTGTAGAATAGCTCTAATCTACGTTTTCAAAGAAAGTTTGCAATTTTAGAGAAAATTGAGTGTTACATTCGTATAAATATTTTAATTCCTGCAAAACGGAAAATACAGTACCAAATATTGTTCGCAGGAGAAAGAAACGCGATCGAGTACGCCCACGCTTACTCCCTATTCTTGGGGCATGCAAACAGCGCGCTGAATCCTGTGGTGTATTGCATCATGACTCGTACTTTCCGACGTAGCGTGGTTGAAATTCTTCGTTGCGGTTCGGACGGGCTTGTCCATCGAAGATCTCGTCGCAGAGTAAGTGTCGGCAGTTCGAGTCCGTGTGTGGAACCTATGCATGTATAATAATTCGAGGAAGCCTTTATTTTCCGACTGCGCCGCCACGGAAAAAAGACAAGGTAAAAACGAGCCCTCTTATTAGTACCGGAGGAGTATCGATGATATTCCAACGCGTATTACATCCTATATTAACTGCCATATCCTTTCCCTTCATTCCGTAGCGACTGGGCAATCTATTCTTCGCGAGCTAAATGGCATTTACTCGATCAGAAAGTACAATCTCGTTCAAAAATACATACGTATAACGTTCATATGGACTTCATAATTATCGAAATCTATGTATGTTGTATGACCATTGCATTTCGATGACAAAATATTTAATTGAAAAAGTCAAAGTTCAATCGTAAATATTTGTTATTCGGAATATGTATATGTGAAATAGGGTCCGCGAAATTTTGCTTTTACGAGTATTTAAGATCTCGTGCAAGATAAATTTTCACCTCTTGTGACTGAATTGACGAAAAAGCTCGTTATATCCATTTATGACGTTGATAGGTAGAAGCAGCCGCAAATGCGTTCGTGTCAATTTAACTTTCAGAAGATCATTCGTTTGTTTTCCGTCGGCTTTCAACTTAATCTAACTTTAATTTGTACGCGAAACGAAATGAACTTTCGGAATATCCCAATATAGCAGAGGTGACTGACAGATAGCAGATTTTCAAATATGAAATATTTAATTAACAAAACTTTAAAGAAATTCAAATGTAAAAAGAGAAATAATCTTTAATGAACTATCTCAATTCATCGATATTGTGAAATTATCATTATCATTTATTGTTAAATCACCTATTTTTTCTTCTAATATTATTAAACAGTTTATTGCTGTGTCATAAGTGTGTCTTATATTTTGCGATTAACCTGTACCATATTAATTCGTTCGTGACCGATGATTTGACACATCCCCGATAACCAAGAACGCATATCTGCATCATAGACTCAGACGAGAATGTATTTGCTAGTTCTAGAATTGCAACAAAGAGGATACTTTCAATAACGAGTTCAACTGTAAAATCGTTGTATAATGCCTAAAATATAATGTGCTCACTCTGACACTATTAGTTTAGTCTAGAAGTTTCAAGTCGTGAAGTTCTAGAATTCCTATCGAAGTTCCCATCCACAGTTGATGAAGTAAAGTTCTAGGTATTCAAACAACCATCATTACTCAAAGCTATCACTTTCTTGAATCATTCCAAAGCTCTGTCACATCTAAACAAAGTGTCTTTTTTAGTCACACGTGCCCTCAATCGTTATAAGTTTTGTCACATTGATATACTGTTATATTACGCTTTGAAGTAAATTAATATAAGCGACATTGCTATCTTTTAAAAATGTGCCTGAGTTTAACTGAAACGTAAATCAATATTCCTAAATTGTTCAATTTGGGAACTGCACGCGTGCAGAATTCATGGCTAATATTATTCGTAAAGTTCTATTATGTTTCTTTGTTATAAAAAGAAAGATATTTCCAATAAACGTTTCTCGGCACAACGGTCGAAGTAGATGTAGAGAAATTTTAGGAGTCAAATCGATTAATCATTCGTTCAAACATCTACATACCACGTGAGTACGACCGCAAAACAGATACGATAGAATATGGTACAATGTATTCCGCAATTGCGAATGACAGAACACACATTTCGTTGGATTATGAAAGACAGAGGGATATTAAAAACGACGAAGAGTTTGCAAACACATCTTTTTCTCTTGGTTTTCACCGTTTGATATCCTCTAAAATATCGGGTTTATCAAACATCTCATGTTCAATCCGGAGAGTGAGAATTCACGGTGTCCTTTGATGTGCTGTGCCTCGTGAATAATATGTATGTATCTGTCAGTGTACGACGCATCGTATTTTAAATAAGCGACTGTCTGGCAAGGAAAGGTGCCCAGGGTTAACGTTCACTTTTTTAGGAGATTTGGTACAGCGATAGAGCTTGTAAAGCTGAATGCAATGATACCCGGTTCTAGGAACAGACGGCTTACAATTTTTGAGATAATTAATATTGAAGTTGACGCCAGGGGCGTGGGGCAAAAGGGGAATCGGTCGCCCGCTCCAACTAGTCTTCCAATTTGTGTTGATTCCAGACTTTTGATTATTATTGGCTAAGTTACGCGCTGTACAAGAGACGTGATTAGGTGGAGCGGGCGTCCGATTCCCCTTGCCCCTTGCGTCGATTAGCAGAATACCCCCCTTGCCACTCTACCGAAACAACAGACTTCTTCTGAGCAACCGACAGTAGATAGTACGCAACGATTAATGTTTGTGAACACTACCTCGGACGGAGGCAACTGCGGTAGAAGAATAAACAACTAAATCCTTTACAAAGATGTGCGAACTTTAAAGTCGACTTTCTCGAAAAAGGAGTCCCGGATAAAGAAAATGTTATACCAAATTTGTTTCTTATTTTTTCACATAGAATCTCCCTCTGCTCGATTGTACTACGAATTCTGGTCTACCCTGTATAGCCACTGATTTTTTCAACTATTGCAGACAATTTTCATTTCGCAAAAAGATCCACAGTCTAGATGTTGATATTAATTAAAGGCCGGTATTGAAGAACGACTCCTCAGGTAAACCATGACATATATGGTACACAAAAGTAGAAATTCTTTCTCATAACATAAGATTTTATGGTTTAATATGATAGCGTTTTACAGTGTTGTCGCCCAAAGTGTGTACTAGAACACATATTTCCTTTTAGCGACCAACCAGGGTTTTAGGGTTTGTCAGACGTCCTGAATTTCTTGGCCAACTCGTAAACTTACGTCTTCTTATAGCCAAACCACGCAATGATTACCGCAGGCGATTTTCCGGCTCGAAGTGATGCAAGTGTATAACCGTCCTCCGGTCGTATTCTCAGCTCACGGCTGACCATTTCCCACTACCTAGTTCGCTGATCGGTGGTCCTTATAGTGAATGATCTTAGCGACGGTTGCTCTGTTTATCTCTTCCGAAACTGTATCGTATCTACCAATTATGGCCCAAAATATTTACCTCGACGACCATGTGTGTATATAAATAAAGAATAAAGAAAATGAGTAAATCTAAACAAAGTTAAGAACAAAACAAACATTTATTTATTCAAAAACGTGTAGAAATGAAATTTATTCATTCGAGACGTAGTTTTCAAGATAATCGATTTTAAACGTCCATCAGTAGATCACGAAACTAAGGGATTCGGGAACGCAAAGAATTCGAGAATGATGCAATTAAAATTGGTAAAATTAATCGGCAACTATAAAAGCGAGCCACGAGCCTCGAATAATCGTATCTCCTCTCCCCAAGTTATCCATTTTCGTTTCCAAGCTGAGGGACAATATGAGAGAAAGTACTGTATCGCGATTCTCGAAAACACGAGTAACCATTCCACACATCACGAACGTTCTTAGAATTCACATGACAGAGCCGCAGCAGCAATTTATGAACAATACTCAGGGATGAGAGTATCGCGATTTCATCAAGCCCCTAATATGAATTCCACGAAGCGTCCGTGAAATTATATCGAGTGCGTGATAAAAATTATACAGCCGATTTCACGGTCATATCCATAAAATGGTACTAAACGCCGTTCCTTTCTTTATTGCAAAAACAATTTCTATAGTTTCTATAATTTTCGAGTTCCTAAAATAAAGTTGTTGATTTCGTACCTGAGACATGGGTATCGTTCGTAGATACAATATTTTAAGAATTGCTCGCCGAATATAACGCTAACAAAAATCGTATAATAAGGAGTTCTGAATTTAGACGCATTTCTTGCATTTGCTCGAAATCGGTTAACCCAAAGTATGGCGCTGTAAGATAAAAAAAACTACAGATTTCTACCAGTCTTTGGTCAAAATCGTGATAAAACTGTGATTTTTGTCATCATTAATTTGTTATAACTCACAAAACTGATTTCGATAAAATTTTCAACATGCACATAAGTTACCAAGATCTACGAAAGGCATTTCTTAAATTTTCGTTATAGGGTCAAATACAAAAGTTAAAAGATGAGGGTTTCTACTTCTTTTTTTGTCATTCCAAGTAATAGCGAAATTTAAAAAAAGCATTTTGGTCATCGTCCCACTATCATCTAAAAAAAAATTCAAGTCACTTAGTCCAGTTTCAAAAAAGTTATTGCGTTCTAAGTGGTGTACGAACACTTTTGTGGACGACTGTAGCTGCCAAACGGCAACGATAGGATCTCTTCTGAACCAAAAGTTACAAGAGTGGGTAACACAATGTTTTATTCGTTTGCTTTAATAACACGTTGGTTAGAACCACAGCTCACATTAAATCGCAATGTCTTAAATTGTTTTGTTTCAAATATATCTCTGCATTCGAAGTTCAAAGCCGGAAGACAATAAGTTGAAAGGTTGTTTGACATCTTACACCTGTAACGATTCTGGCATACTGTTTCAGAGCATTCAAGGAACCGCCGTGATGGATGACGTGTGCGCAGGATGCAGTGCCGGAGATGGCTCGATGAGGGGGTTGCTGCGCAAACGAAGAATGTTGGCCGGATGCAGATGCGGGCTGCCGATAGGCGGTCATCACGCGGTTTTGGCACTGCGACGCACGGCCACGACGAGCAGCGGATACGACAGCTTTTACAGCAGGCACAGTACTCATAAGCGCTGCTACATGCTGCGCAGCCTCCGCGAGAGGCCTCAAATCTCGACCAATCAGGTTGCAAACGCGGATAAACGTCGACAAACCTGCAACCAAAGGGACGATCCTAAGACCAGCCAACTTCGAATCAGCAAGCTCACCACCACGAACGAACAATGTCTTTAACTCTTAACCAGGATTGATCTTTTTTTGTCTATCTACTGACATTTTGGAGCAGCGGGGCGTATAGGCTTTTGCCTATTCTAAGCAGTTGTAAGCTCAAGTGGGAATTATACAGGGTGTTCCACAATTACTTTAACACCCGAAAATGAGGGGTAGCTGAGGTCATTTGAAGTAACTTTTTCCTTTGCGAAAATGCAATCCGCGGCTTTGTTTACGAGTTATTAACGAAAAACACTGGCCAATGAGAGGTGACGGCGCGAGAGAGAGAGAGAGAGTCCGCAGCACGAGGCTTTGACAGATGGTCGGGACGGATTCGAGCCGCGTTCGAAGTATTGAACAA